CCGGAAAAAACCGTAGCAGGAAGCTAGCGAAGTCGTAGTATATATCGTCACAAACAGAACTGCCCGGTAAAACCGTAGGCAGAGAGAGAGAAGAGGACAACAAACGAGGGGCTGTGACAAACTGTTTCGTCCGAGTTTCACCTACTCATCAGGAGGCTGAACCCTAACAGTCTGCAGAATCCCCTCACTGATTACACTGTAAATGATAATTTACCTTAACCAAAATCAAAGTAGACTATCACTCACCCACACCAGATGGAAAACTCTACAGATACAGACTGTCGGTTCACACCCCATCACAAGCCAGCAAAATATATATATATATATAGTCAAACAGAGCTGCCCGGTACACCGTAGGCAGAGAGGGAGAAGAGGACAACAAACGAGGAGCTGTGACAAACTGTTTCGTCGGAGTTTCACCGACTCATCAGATCTCCAGGGAACCTTCTCTGTGGAGCACACATACCATGAATTCTCACTTGACCAATATGGACCTGGCAACAAGGCAATGAGAACAATTGACAACGGAAGTGACCACTCGAGCACAAGCACAAGAATGATGCGCGCTCTTGATGACGAATGCCCCCTTTCTCGCCTCCGAAAACAAATCACAGCAACAACAATAGTTCTCTGCCCTCACTGGTCTTCATACCAGCCCTACTGTCTTCATCCAAATAGAACGCCCCGTCATTATCTGTGTATCCAGACTGAAAGTCCCATCAAATACAGCAATAATTATCGGGTGCTCTGTTTGGGTGAAGACGGTAGTGACCACTTGCTCTATCATCTGCTCTTGGCCTATGCTACACCTATGTCATGTCACAGAATCTCATGCCACTTTCACTTCTGCTGATGACTGCTTGAAGAGTCTGACCCTGCTGGAGCTCTTCCTGAAAACCGCCACGTAAGTGTCTGCCAACTCGTCCCTTCTCCACAGTTTCCTTTTCCCCAAGGATCTACCCATTCAGCACCACCTTCTTCCTTCTCGGCACTGCACCGGTATGGCGTCCATCCCAGCGCCTGAACTGTTATGCGACTGGGCCTTGGTCTTTTATCACAGCCCAGCCGACGCAGCCGCTGCTGGAGATCGAGGTCAGAATACAGTCTTCCCCCGAATACAACGTACGGTCATTATAGCTGAATTTAGACTGAACGATACACCAAATTCAGCTTTAATGACCGTACGTTGTATTCAGGGGAAGACTGTAGCATTACCCCCTTGACTTCATGCCTCAATTCACATCCTGGCGAAGGGTGGTGTTCCCACGGAGCGGTGTCGGATGAAGCCGGTCCTTCCTCACGCTAGTATAGCTCACTATGTGGGCCCAGAAGTCTTTTCGTCAAACTTCCTCTGACAAAGACATCCTCGACTTGCTCCGGCCTTCCTTAAACACTTGTGTCTGTCTTCTCGTCTTGAGCCGGCAGGCATTTGGCCTTGCCCTACCAGGTCCCACACAGCTTGACCGAGCCCCATTCCCGCCCTGTCCGTGCGTTACACTCTTTGGGCCTGAGCGCACGGCCTACCGGTCCTATGCCGCCTGCTGCAGGAACTACGGCCCTCGCAATAAAATAAATTTAGATAAATATCATTCAAAGACTGTCCTTCAGACCCCTCTAACCCCCTCTCAACAACCCCATTAACCCTTATTCATGTTCTTTGGGAATGACCTTGGATTTGTGCTCCACTT